GTCCTTTTTTTGACCATCTCTTCAGTATTTCAAATCATGGTGTTTATTCATCTGTCATGCTCACATTGGTGGCCCTGCTCAGAGAGAGAAACCCAGACCCTGTGCAGGGATCCTGGAGCCTTCCTTTCCTTCCGTGCTCCCCTAGTGAGAGTGAGGAGGATGTCTTAGGTAAGCCCAAGCCGAAGGATGCATGGGGTAGTGAGAGGGAGATACACTGATGGATCCGGGCAGCCTTCTGGAGTCAAGCCACAACATTGGGTTGTTTGGAGAGTGATACTAAAACCCAATGCCATTGCCAGGCTTCCATCTTAATTTTTATCAGCTGGACACAGATGAGGCTTCATTGTCATATATGGAGTGCTTTTGCTGAGATCTTTGGCTAACTGAAGTTTTTCCATGACTTCTTGAGACTTACCATCAGTATATGACAGCATTTGTTTTATTTTGGCATTTCTTTTTTAGATAGCAAGGGTTTTACAGTTATGTTTTTCCTCTGCCAAAAACATTACTGAAAAATGATTTCCCTGAAAAAAATGTTTCATAGTTTCCTTTACTACCCAAGTCACTTATTTTGATTTGGAGGTTTTTTTCTTAAATCAGTCAGGAAATAAAACAAGAAAAAACTTCCCTTAACAAGAACAAAATTTAACTTTTGACCAAAAGAAAATTAGGAGGGCAAATGAGATGTGTTTGATATGGCAGTGGTTCCATTGTCTTTTTAAATAAAATTTAAATTTAATTAAAATAAAAATTCAGTTTTAATTGATATTGCTGAGGCTTAAGTGAATAAGAAACCTGCTTTTCTACCTTGTTTCAAATGAATTTATTTTATTTTTGCAATTACTCTCATCAGTTTTATGTCCAGCTTTTTGAAATACTCAGGAAGACTGTTCTAGAACTGATGAAGAGCACCCATTTTCTCTGGATTCTGCCCCTTTGCTGATAAGTGGCAGCCATCAGCCAGGTGCTCCCTGTGGATATAGAAGCCTCTGTCGAGGCTGAATTGGCCTCTTGAAGCAGCCAAATCTGCCATTGGCTCTGTGACAGGGGAGTCCAAGAGAGAAATTGGAGGTGTGTCAATTCACAGGGCTTTCTCTCTGGAGTGCACTTGAAAAAAATGATACAGGAAGCCATACTGATAACAGATGTAGAGTTGCTTATCATTGCTAATGGCAAAAACATCAAAGTGAACTAACAGCAAAAACAGCTGCACTCACTGCATCAGCACCCTCCGCTAATAGTATGTGCAAACACCTTCCAGTTCCTACGGTAGCAACAGTGGCCAAATTTCCTTTAAAGCCAAGAATATTTTCCTTTTTGAGTCATACCTAAAGGGTTGCTCCTCAAATCAGATGTCAGACCCAACCATCCTTTTCCCCTTCATTTCTGCTCTTATTTCCACCATTATTGTGCAGCAGTTTTTTTTATTGACTACTAACAAATATGTGGAATAGAGACATAGAATATCTCAAAGGTGTGTATCTATTTAAAATGGAGACAGTAGGCATCTTCTACAAGTATTGAGTTAGTTTTATTAATAGCAACCCAGACACCACAGCAAATTACTATTGCCATCTCAGCTACTCTTCACCTCACTGGTGGAGTATAATAATTTCTTTTTAAAAAAGATTTATTTTATTTATTCATGCAGAGGTGTGGGGGTTTAAGAGGATTCACCAGAGACAAAATAGGGAGCAGAACAGGCAGATTTACTGAAATACTCTGCTGAGGGGGAGCAGCGGGTGAGACAGGAGAGGTCTGCTGCACCATGTGGGTCAGCTCCCTGGCCAGGGATCGAACTCTTGCTGCAGTGGCAACTGATAGCTTGATAGTGCTGCAACTTAGCCCCTTTGTACCACCAGGGAGGCACTAGAGTATAAACATTTCTTTCCAGTATTTTTGTTTCACATGAATAGTACCTTCTTTTAAGTTTCGATGCTTTGGCTGATATCTGTGATAATAAACATGGAGGAATTCCTTCTGTCTAAAGATTGTGCCTCTTGTTTGGAATATACACAACTGTTCATCGGAAAGAGTGAATATTTAATAAGCTGGCTTGGGCCTTGAGTTTTCTTCAAAAGCGATATGAGTATCTTGGAAGTATGTAATAGCACAAGATGAGATTGACTGTCACCATCCACATGTTGAAAACTTGTTACCTTCATCTGGTCTAGATTAAGACTCTGCTCCCTCCCTTTCATGAAGCACAGGAAAGTTCTGAGGGCCTGGTGTATTAGGATTTGTTCAGAGGCCTCCTTGGTGGTAGAGGCTTGAGCTTCTTATCTACCAGCAACAAAAGTTCCTCTAAAGGGGATTATCATCATCTTGAAATAGCTGTCCTGCTGTGTCCGTGGAAGAGTATACACTTTGCTGACTTTGGCCTGTTCTTATGGTCTTCATAAGAAGTGAAGGGTTTGTGTGGCCAGTAGGTTAAAAATCCACTCCACACCAAGGAGCTCAGGAGCATGGCATTCTGGGGCCCAAAGGAGCCCAGAAGTCACCCACATCTTGTTTGAATCAGAGCTTTGCCACTTATTAGCTGTTCGGTCTTTTCAAATCTTGTTTTGTTTTGTTTTTTTTTTCTTTTTCTTTTAAATTTTTTCAATTTTTATATTCCCCATACAATTGCACCCCCTTTATTTTGGCCCCAATCTCTCCTTTCCCTGCCCCCCCATAGTATGTCTGTGGTTTATAGTTGTTTGTTGATTTTGATTTTTTCTTTCTTATAGTTATTCTTTTTCCTGGTCCCTTATTTAGGTTTTCTAGATTCCTGCTATGAGTGAGACCATCCGGTATTTTTCTTTTTCTTTCTGGCTTATTTCGCTGAGCATGATCCCTTCCATCTCCATCCATCTTGCTGAAAATTGCATGAGTTTATCTTTTTGATTGCTGAGTAATATTCCATTGTGTATATGTACCACATCTTCTTGGGTCCAATCATCTATTTTTGGGCATTTGGGTTGTTTTCAAAGCTTAGCTATTATAAATAGTGCTGCTATAAACGTAGGGGTGCAGGTGCTCTTTGGAATTAATGTTTCTGTGTCCTTTGGGTCAATACCTAGGAGTGGAATTGCTGGATCATATGGAAGCTCTATCTTTAGTAGGCTGAGGAATCTCCACAGTGGTTGGACCAGTTTGCACTCCCACCAGCAGTGCAGGAGAGTTCCTTTTTCTCCACATCCTCGCCAACATTTGTTGTTGCTAGTGTTTTTAATGTGTGCCATTCTCACTGGTGTAAGATGGTATCTCATTGTAGTTTTGATTTGCATTTCCCTGATTACAAGTGATGTTGAACATTTTTTCATATGCCTGTTGGCCATTTGCATTTCCTCTTTGGAGAAGTTTCTTTTTAGCTCTTCTGCCCATTTTTTGACTGGATTATTTTCTTTGTTTTTGTTGAGTCTCATCAGCTCTTTGTAAATTTTTGTGATCAGTCCTTTATCATTAGTGTTGTGTGCAAAAATGTTCTCCCAGTCGGTGGGGTTTCTCTTTGTTTTTGTTATTGTCTCTTTTGCTGTGCAGAAGCTCTTTAATTTGATGTAGTCCCAGCTATTTATCTTTGCCTTCACTATCACTGCTTTGGGTGATGTGTCTGTCAAGATGTCTTTGAGGTGCATGTCATGCAGTGTTTCACCTATATCAGATCTTGTTATCTCAAGCAATAAAATGGTTTTGATACTAGACTATTTAGGTTATTATAAATATTAGCTACCATTTTTGAACATTAGTTATGCTAGGTACGCAGTCAAGAAATGATCATAAATGGCTTCATTTAATTCATACCATAATAATAATTATTAAGAAATTATGGTGCAAATGAAGTAGGAATTATGATCCACATTAAAGATGAGCAAACTGAGGCAGCACATTGCCCAGAGTTACATAATATGTGAGTGGCTTGTATGAGACTTCAATTCTGGTCTGTCGAACCCAGATTCTGTGAGATATCATGAAATTAATGTGTGCCTGGTGCATAGTATGTGCTAGCAAAGGTGCCTTTGTTAGATCTTGACTTCTGTGTTAGATTTTTGTGCATACTGTTCTTTAGAGCGGATCTGTCACACTGCCCTCATGTGGTTCATTTGGATAACTATTTTTTAATGTTTAATGGACTATTTGAGCGAATAGTAGGCATTTTTTGTCTCTAAAGTCATCTGGGTCTACATCTCAATCTATTAAAAATATAACTGTTTACTTTCTACAGTCCAGTTTGATTCCTAACCCTGAGCCCCACCCACTGGTGAGCTACTTTAGTCACTCTTGTACCGTCTCCTCTGGCTTCACTAATGTTCTCTGTTCCCATGGTTGTCCTGAAAAAGAAACTTGTCTTCCTTGGCACATAAAGCACAATGTAGCTTTGTCTTGCCATCCTGTCCACAGGGGAGGAATTCTTCTTGCAATTATTTTTTCCTCCCAACTTTGGTTTTCTCACAGATATTTCTCCCACCTACAAAATCTTGAACTTTCTTTCACACTTAAGGAAGAGTTCAAATCACCAGGGAGCATAGTGTTAATTCAGTTACCAGTTTTAGAGACAGAAAAAATTTCCAGGAGGAAAATAAACAGACTTGACTCTACCCATTACGAGCTTTAGAAGTGAAACTTACTCATAAGTTTCTTTTCTCATACCAGGAAGAATTCAACTTAACCTGGATTCCTTCTCCTTTGTTAAAAAGTTACACACACACATTCAAAACCTAGTCATAGTTAGCACAGGGCTCTATCCCAAACAGTTACTCTGTAGACGTCATTGTTTTTCAGAGGCTCCATCCATGGAGGATTTGAAGGTCTCTGTCAGATTTGTGCCTTGCTACCTCTGGTTATGTCTGGTAGTGGTGGATAGAGTTGGTGGGAGAAGAGTACTGGGTATGGGAGAGGGTTAAGAGGAGTGTTCTAACCTTTAAACACCATTCAGTAACAACATACAGAGAAGTCTTTTGTTCTGAAATGTATTTAATCATTAAATATTGTCCTAATATCAAGACCTAATTGTGTTTCAGATAATGGAGGGCAGACTTTGGCAGGGGGTAATAACTGGCCCCTTCGAGGAAGAAAATGGAGCCTATGGGAAGGAGGCGTTCGAGGAGTGGGCTTTGTGGCAAGTCCCTTGCTGAAACAGAAGGGTGTGAAGAACCGGGAGCTCATCCATATCTCTGACTGGCTGCCCACTCTCGTGAAGCTGGCCAGGGGAAGCACCAATGGCACCAAGCCTCTGGACGGCTTCGACATGTGGAAAACCATCAGGTACCTACTTGTACATTTTTCTTTTTTTCCTACCAGAGCAGATACTCCATATGTAGCTTGGAGTGAGAATGGTAGCTTATGATTTTTTTGAAAATCATAGTTCAGCTTTTAAATTAAAAAATTCCTTTAGAAATACTGTTTTGGTTTTTTTTTAAATTTCTCGGTTTATGACTGTGGCTCTAAGTTTTACAAGAAGAGGAAAATTGTCACAGACTTATTCTCAACAGGAGTTCTTTAAGCAGAGAAGTTTCTCTAAGAAAGGGTTGAGTATTATTTGCATCCTGCAGAACATCAAGAAACCTGCTTTATTCCTCCTAGGAGAATGTAGAACCCAGAAAAAGGGAAGGATCTGGAATGTGTGCTGGAGAGCAGTTGTGCATAAAAAGTTTCTAACTGCCCCCCTATTGTGTGCAAAGTCCTATACTAAGTGGAGGGAAAACACAAAACATCCAAGATCCTAGCTCACATGGGGCTTATATTCTTATAGTATGTTTGTATATGTAATAAATGAATAAACACATACAAAAACAAGGTGGCCTCTTATAGGATGATATGAAGGAAATTTGACAGTCTTTTGTGAACAAGAGAGCTGGAAGAAATGAAGGAGCTATAGTCTGGGAAGCAGAGCCCAGACTCAACTTTGGAAATGGTAGTATTCCTTTTCCTGTTTAGCCACCAAAGTTAGAACAATTGCCCCCACAGTGGAGAGCCACACACTGAGAAGGTAAAAGAAGAAAACTTTGAAACTTGTATTTATATTCAATTTTATCTCATCCTTTTAAAAGTATATGCTTTATAAGCATTTGTTATATGCTTACTAAATGTTAGATTAGTACATATATCCAATTTATATCTACATGCACTTATACTGGCAGTATTGTTTTTACAGAATAGATGAATGGATTACAGAATTCTCTCTCTATATTCCTATATATCTATGTGTATACACACACATACCCATAGACACGTATATACATCCATATATGTACACACACACAATAATTTCCCTATATGTCAGTATCTATAATTCAATAATCAAAAAGTTCAGAGAAACTGGTTGAGTCATACTAAACCCAACTTTCTTTTGTCTTCAGGTGACCCATCTGAGTTCCAAAGGTAAACATAGGCTTAAAGTAAAAGATTAGAAAACAACCCTACAAGCAAATATACACTAAAAAAGCAGGAAAGGCAATATTTATATCAAATAAAATAGACTCAAGCTAAAAAGGTATCAAGAGATGGGATAGGCATTATAGAATGATCAAGGGAGCAACACATCAGGAAAACAATACTCATCAACATCTATGCACCAAAAAAAAAAAAAAAATGGAGCACTACAAACCTAAAAAACAGACATCAATAGCAACACAATAATAGTAGGGAAATTCAACACCCTAGCTATATCAATGACTATATCAATCAGACAGAAAATCAGCAAACAAACAAAAGTCTTAAATAATGAGTTAGGCCACGTGGACTTAATAGACATTTTTTGGGTAATGCACTCCCCACCCCAAAGCTGAGTACACATTTTCCTAAAGTGTACATAGGTCATTCATGAGTATGTACCATATGTTGGGTCACAAAACAAGTGTCAATAAATTCATAGAGATTAAAATCATATCAAATTGTTGATTCTGTGGTCACAGTGATATCAAACTGGAAATTAACCACTAAGAAAATAGGAAAAATCTCTAATATGTGGAGCCAAAACAACATGCTATTGAATAAATATTGGGTTAACAAGGAAATAAAAGGGGAAATTCAAAAATTATTGGAGACAAAGGAAATGAAGGCACACGCAATCAGAACTTATGGGCCACAGTGAAAGTACTAAGAGGGAATTTTATATAGTACTGGCCTATCAAGAAACAAGAAAGATCTCAAGTAATCTAACCTTACACCTTTAAGGGACTAGAAAAAGAAAAGCAAATGAAACCTAAGTCCATAGAAAGAAGAGTAAATAATAAAAATTGGAGCAGAAATAAATAAAATGGGAGTTTAAAAAAAGAGCACGAAGATCAAGGAAACCAGGAGCTGGTTCTTGGAAAGGATAAAATAGACAAACCCCTTGCTGCACTCATTATGACTAAAAAGGAAAAAACTGATAAATAAAATCATAAAAGAAAGAGAAGTTATAACAGACATCAAAGAAAGACAGAGAATTATAAGAAACTACTATGAGCATCTTTATGGAAGATCTAGAAGAAATGGTAAATTCTTAGTATCACTTAACTTCCCAAGGCTAAATCAGGAAGAACATAACATTTGAATAGACTACAAGTAAAGAAATTGAAACAGTAATCAAAATTCTCCCTCTCCCCTAAAAATCCAGTATCAGATGGTTTTATTAGTGAGTTCAACCAAACCTGCAAACAAACTAGTATCTATCCTTCTTACATGCTTCCAAAAATCTGAAGAAGAGAAATGCTTCAAAACACATTTCATGACACAATGAAAACAACTGTAAAATGGCATGAAGGTTGTTCACAATATTAAAAGTAGACCTACCATATGATCCAGCAATCCCTCTCCTAGATATCTAACTGAAGAATGCAAAAACATTAAGTTGAAGAAATATTATAGCACTGTTTACAAAAATCACACTATTGAAACAACTTAAGTGCTCAATGACAGATTAGTAGATAAAAAAGATACACAATGGAATACTACACAGCTATGAAAAAGAAATGAAATATCATTTTCTAAAACATAGATGGAACTACAGGTATTATGCTAAGGGAGGTGTCAGTGGGAGAATGATAAATACTAGATGATTTTACTCAGATGTGGAATATAAAGAAAGAAAACAAAGCAAAGGAACAGACAAAAAAAAATCAAACAAACACTCAAATCTGAAATCAGAACTGAGGCTCCCAGAATGGAAGGATAGAGATGAGTGGGAAGAAAAGTAAGAGGAGCCCCAATGGACAATGGCAGAGGGAAGATTATTAATGCTTTGGTGGTGGGCATGGTGTGATGACATTTGTATTTGTACAGGTGAATAATATATCATATTGTAAATCAACATTAACTCAAGAAATATAGTTAAAAATCATTTTTCTGGATTAAAGACTTGGATGTAAGACTTGAAATCATAAAATACAACAAGGAAAACATATACATTCCTTGACATGTGCCTTAGAAATGTGTCTGTGTACTGGACTCCAATTGCAAGAGAAACAAAATGAAAAATAAACAAATGGGATAACATCAAACTAAAAAGTTTCTGCACAGAGAAAGAAACTTGTATCAAAGTGAAAGATCCCACTGAATGGGAGATGATATTTACACGTAATATGTCTGACAAGGGCTTAATATCCAATGATCTCATAAAACTTAAAACAAACAAATGAAAAATCCCAAACAACCTGATTAAAAAACAGACAGAAGATTTGAATAGATATTTCTCTAAAGTGGACATACAGATGACAATAAGCATATGAAAAGATGTTCATCATTTCTTATTATTAGAGCAATGCAAGCCAAAACATATAAATTGCAGGTGTTCACTGAAAGATTGATATTATCACCCTCATACCGCTGAGAATGATTATTATCCAAAATACAAGAAACAGTGTTGGAGGGCCTCCCCGGTGGCGCAGCGGTTGAGCGCTGGGTTGCGAAGCTGCCCGCGGCCTCTGCAGCGCCGGTTCAATCCCCGGTTGCTCCCCGGCCTCCTGAAGAGGGTCCCACAAGGCGCGCAGACCTCTCCTGCCGCCCGCTGCTCCCCTCAGCAGTGTACTTCGGTCCTTCTGCCTGTTCTGCTCCCCGCTCTGGCTCTGGTGAATTCTCTCACCCTCCCGCGCTTCTGACTGTACCCAGTGCATGTATAAACAAAACAAACAAATAAATAAATAAATAACATGCCTCTATTAAAAAAAAAAAAAAAGAAACAGTGTTGGAGAGGATGTGAAGAGAGGGAAAGCCTAATATACTGTTGATAGAAAGTTAAAGTGGTGCAGGTATTATGGAAAGCAGTACAGGGATTTCTCAAAAAATTAAACAGAAATTCCTTGCAATCCAGCTTTTCCACTTTGGGTATTTACCAAAAAACCAAATATACTAATTCAAAGAAACATGTGCATACCCCTCCTGTTTATTGCAGCACTATTTGCATTAGCCAATAACTAGAAACATGCTCATTAATAGAGGATTGGATAAGAAGATGTGGTATATCCACACAATAGATTATTATTCATCTATTGGGAAAAAAAAGATGAAATTTGACCATTTACAACAACTTGAATAGACTTGAGGGAATTATGGTTAGTGAAGTAAGCTAGACAGAAAATGCCAAGCACTGTATGATTTCACTCACATGTGGTATGTAGACAGAACAAATGGATAAACTAGTAAAACAAAAATAATTTTTGAAGTTACAAGACCAAATTAGAGGTTACCAGAGGGAAGGGGGAAGAAGGCTGAGTAATTGGGGAAAAGGATATAATGGCATGGTGAAGGAGAGATTTGGACTTTTAGTGGTAAACTTAATGTAGTATATATAGATCTTGTTTCTCAAGTTTCAGTGAACACCTGCAATTTATATAATGTTATAATGCAATATTATTTCAATGAAAAGTAAAATAATTAAAAGTAAAACACCATTTTTCAAACTGCAAAAATCCTTTTTCATTGTTTAGCATTTTATTCATTTTTCAATTCACTTTAAGTTTATACTGATTTACTAGATGAATTCATCATGCAGATTATAATAGCCCTGCTGCCTGCAGTATCCTGTGTGAAAAAGGCTCCTGGGTCTGTGTTTGTTCATATCTCTCTTTGACCTGAAAATGTGCAGTTGATTTTATTTACTAATATTTTAAGGAGCAAGTAAAGCCATTTCCATTTAGCTTTGTTTTATTTTATTTTTGAAATTGAGGTAATTATTTTATTAGTTTGTGGAAAGTATTAGATTCTTCTAGCAACAACTTTTTTCTCAGACCCTAAATTCTTTTTTAGTACACACTAAGTGCTTAGGAATTTTATTCCTTTTATAT